ATTTAACAAAATAACATGTTTGATAATTTTTCTAGAGTACAAATTTATATTTGATGCTAAAAATAATAGAAACACATATTTGATAAAATCATATAATAAAAGTGCAACTTATACCTATATAAAAAAACTAAATAATGGGAGAAACTAAAAAACTAAATAATGTACTCATCTACACAATAAATAAAAGCCAAATGAGAAAACTTGAAGCCCCATTTCAAATTTCCTGCATCCAGAGTGAAAGTAGGAAGGACATTTTGGTCTTCACAATTATTTTTTTTTATTCATTAAAAAGACACTTACTAGGATTCGAACCATGACCATTTTAAAGAAAAACAAAGATCATAACCAATCACACTAAGTACATTTGTTGTATCTTTTTAAATTAAAAACATATAATTGCATAGAGGAAAAAACTCTTCCCCCATTTAAAATTCCATGCTCCAGGAGCGTTTGTAGGAAGAGTAGAATAGGGAGTGTCAATTTTTTTCTTTTTCCTCTGTGGAACGGGCCAACTTACCGTACACATGCGGATTTAAACGGGTCCAGGAGTGTCAATTTTTTTCTTTAAGTCCTTTTATTTCTCCATGGTGGTAAAATATATATATGAAAAGGCAAAAACAATACTCCTTTTTATTGCTAAAAAGAAAAAAATTAACAAAAAACTAATGCATGGATTCTAATGGGCTAACCGCTAATCATAAAATAAAAGAGTTGAACGGGTCTGACCTACATGGGATTTGCCCATCAAGTAAAACAAATGAACATCATGGGTTTGCCATTCTAAAACAAGATATTTTCTCTAGCATAATATATACTATGCTATTATTTTATATCTTAGTGGCTAAAATATAATGTATTTTAAAGTTATTCAATGGTTCAACTTCGACCAACTCAATTAGTCCAATTTTTATCATTTCAAATATATATTATGTAATTATTTGATATCATAATGATTAAATTATAGTGTATATTATAGGGAATCGTTTGGTATTTGTTAGTAAAAAACTAAACAGAAAGATCTATTTGGTTATTTTTAACATTAAAACGATCCTAAACATTTTCAGTTTCCTTTCGAAATTCTATAGTTTTATTCCCGAATCAGTGATGTGCAAATGGTGAATTGCAGTCATCTCTTTTCTTTCATTATTTTTTATTTTCAAATATAAAGTTTAAAAGTAAAGAATAATTAGAGTTTGGCATGGGTCGGTCAAACAAGCTGAATTTCAAGTTTTGGCCCATTTTGATCAAGTCTAATTTATAATCACATGGTTCTCTGATACCCTATAAAAATCTCAATCCAAACCAGTTTGGCAGGTGAGTCCGTGTTTACCACCATTTTCTAGGGATATAGGAACGGTGGTTCCTATCCCAAATCGTGCTGTTCATTCTTGATTTCTTTAGATTTTATCATGGCTTGGCAAAAAACCAGAAAGCACAATGATGAGAAGATGAAAGTTTTATAAATCAAATTAATCGGCCAACGGCCCGAGTAAAAGCTAGCAACGATTGTGAGATGCTCATTTCCCGAAAATCGGCGCGATATGCGATTTTTTATTCGATTTTCTGGAATTCGGTTTCTATAAAACTTACTCCACCTCATCATATTACCAGAAACAATATTGTTTCACAAGGTAACATGTACTTGATTTTGGTTCATAAGGCTGATTTTTGATTCGTTGCATCATTCATGTCTCTTTTCTACTAAAATTCACTATTTTTATCACGTGTTCCCAAAAAAAACTATACAACAATAAGCTATACACCCCATTACATTATCAAATTTCATACCTCATCTTCGTCCAGCCAAATGGTCGGGGTACACGCTAGTTAGCTTAGAGACAGAAACTAATTTTAAGAAGCTATATTCTCATTTTCTTTATTTATTTTCCCTTTGTTGGGAAAGAAAGGTTTTAACTTTTAAGCTTCTCGTTATCCCCTAAAACAACATCCACCAGTAAGTACAAGGCCCAGAACAGAACAGAACAGAACAGAAGAGCCAGAGGAAACAGGGGCATCCTCAAGTCCAGAGGAGCAACCAAAGCCAAAACAATGGCGACAGAGGCAGTTCGATTGGCAGCCTCACCTTCCTCTTCAATCTGCTCCTTCCATGGTTCCCTAAGGAACTCTAACTCTCTCTCCGCCCCAGTTCGCTTCTTGGGTCTCCCTGCCCCTCGCACTTCAGTTTCATCATCTTCTATCTCTTCCTCCCTCTCTCACTTCCTGGGCGGCCACCATGCCCGCTCGCAATTCTCCATTTCCGGGCAAAAAACCCTACAAAGAAGGAGGCGGAACTTATCTGTCTCCGCCATGGCTGCCGAAGGTCTCTCCTATCCCTCTATCTCATCCCTTAGCCTCTACTTTCGAATGAATGTGTTCATTCAAAAATTACTACCCTACTTTCTCATTCGCCTGATATTTGTGGTGACAATATTCTCTGATTGTGAATGGTTTGGCCGTTCTTCCAGTTTTTGGTTTTGGCTGTTAAATTGATGGGTGATTCTCGAAGTTCGGGTCTTTACAAGTTAATGGTGCTTATAGTTATGCTTCTGTATCGAATTGAGGAAATTGCGCAGTGGGAGTTTTAGGGTACTTGATGGAAATGACATTGGTGAAGTTCAGTTTTTAGTTTCCATACTAATGGTCTATGAATTACGGATTGATTTCGATTCTATTGTAGCTTAGTACTAACATGAATTTCTAACTGTGTCTACTTTGACAGAGGGAAAGCGTGTGGTGCCATTGAGAGACTACAGAAACATCGGAATCATGGCTCACATCGACGCAGGAAAGACCACCACAACCGAGAGGGTACTCTATTACACGGGAAGAAACTACAAGATTGGCGAGGTACACGAGGGAACTGCCACCATGGACTGGATGGAACAAGAGCAAGAGAGAGGGATCACCATTACTTCAGCTGCCACCACCACATTCTGGAACAAGCATCGAATCAACATCATCGATACCCCTGGCCATGTGGACTTCACATTGGAAGTCGAACGTGCTCTCCGTGTTCTTGATGGTGCAATCTGCTTGTTCGACAGTGTTGCTGGAGTGGAGCCACAGTCGGAGACCGTGTGGAGGCAGGCTGATAAGTATGGTGTGCCTAGAATTTGCTTTGTGAACAAGATGGATAGGCTTGGAGCCAACTTTTTCAGGACGAGGGATATGATTGTTACGAACTTGGGTGCTAAGCCTTTGGTGATTCAGATCCCGATTGGCGCTGAAGATGGCTTCAAGGGTGTTGTTGATCTTGTCAGGATGAAAGCTATTGTCTGGTCTGGGGAAGAGCTGGGTGCAAAGTTTGATTATCAGGACATTCCGGATGATCTTGAAGAATTGGCTCAGGATTACCGAGCTCAGATGATTGAGATGATTGTCGAGTTGGATGATGAGGCCATGGAAGGCTATCTAGAAGGCATTGAACCTGATGAAGAAACTATCAAGAAGTTGATTAGGACAGGAACTATTGCAGGCAACTTTGTGCCTGTTCTATGTGGATCAGCTTTCAAGAATAAAGGAGTGCAACCTTTGCTGGATGCAGTTGTTGACTATCTCCCTTCCCCAGTTGACTTGCCAGCAATGAAAGGGACTGATCCGGAGAACCCAGAAATCACGCTCGAAAGGGCTGCGAGTGATGATGAGCCATTCTCAGGTCTAGCATTCAAGATTATGAACGATCCATTTGTGGGCTCTCTTACATTCGTTAGAGTGTATTCAGGGAAGCTTGCGGCGGGATCTTATGTCCTGAATGCAAACAAGGGGAAGAAAGAGAGGATCGGAAGGCTCCTCGAGATGCATGCCAATAGTAGAGAGGATGTTAGGGTTGTCTTGACGGGAGACATTGTTGCTCTAGCTGGGCTGAAGGACACCATAACTGGAGAAACATTGTGTGATCCGGAGAACCCGATTGTTCTTGAACGAATGGACTTCCCTGACCCAGTCATTAAGGTGGCAATCGAACCAAAAACCAAGGCTGATGTGGACAAGATGGCAACCGGGTTGATCAAGCTTGCACAAGAAGATCCTTCTTTCCATTTTTCTCGAGACGAAGAGACCAACCAGACGGTGATCGAAGGGATGGGAGAGCTCCATCTCGAGATCATCGTGGATCGTCTCAAGAGAGAGTTCAAGGTGGAAGCCAATGTCGGAGCACCCCAGGTGAACTACCGGGAGAGCATAAGCAAAGTAGCCGAAGTTAAGTACGTGCACAAGAAGCAGTCAGGTGGGCAAGGTCAGTTTGCTGACATCACTGTCCGGTTTGAGCCTATGGAGTCAGGTCAAGGGTACGAGTTCAAGAGCGAGATCAAGGGAGGGGCAGTCCCACGGGAGTACGTTCCTGGAGTGATGAAGGGACTGGAGGAATGCATGAGCAACGGTGTTCTGGCAGGCTTCCCTGTGGTCGATGTACGTGCTGTACTGGTCGATGGGTCGTACCACGACGTCGATTCGAGTGTTCTGGCATTCCAGCTGGCAGCAAGAGGTGCGTTCAGGGAAGGGATCAGGAAAGCTGCTCCAAAGATGCTTGAGCCGATAATGAAGGTGGAAGTAGTGACCCCGGAGGAGCATTTGGGGGATGTGATTGGTGATTTGAACTCCAGGAGAGGGCAGATCAATAGCTTTGGAGATAAACCTGGCGGCCTGAAGGTAAGCTAATCAAACACAGTAATGGTAGTCTTTCATGGTCTTTTTTGCCGGAATGGTCGTAATGGATGAAAATTGAATGCAGGTGGTGGATTCACTGGTGCCGTTGGCTGAGATGTTTCAGTATGTGAGCACGCTCAGGGGAATGACGAAAGGGCGGGCTTCGTACACGATGCAGTTGGCCAAATTCGATGTTGTGCCACAGCATATTCAGAACCAGCTTGCTTCGAAAGAGCAGGAAGTTGCTGCTTGATTCCAGGTTACTTCTGGCGGAGTTGTACTGTTTTCTGTGTAAAAGGCACAAATAATTGCTCAATTATTTATACGTTGGAGATTGTTGTACTTTACGTGAAATTAAAAGGAGATGGAAGGGACAATAATTGCTTAATGAGAGTCCTCAAGATCGGTATTTTGCAGAGTGCATTCGCTGGTGTGTACAGAAGATACTGGGTCAAGCGAAGCCCAGAGATAGATTACCAGTTTTTGGGTACCTTACATAGAACGTCACTCATCTTCAGCTACTAAGTACTAACAATCTAAGTCGGTAGTTTGCGTTCAAGTGCATTTCACGACCCTAAAAGAAGGGACGGCATGACCAATTATCTTATATATAAAAGCTAGGTACACTTTTTTGTCAAAGTAACTATTTCAATTTTTGTCTTTTAGTGAGAATGAAAGAACTTGCCATCTTACCTAGGGATGGCAATTTTGACCTGACCCGTTTTACCCGACCTGTTTTGGGGCGGGTCCGACCCGCCCCGTAGGCGGGGCGGGCATGGGTAGTCTCATCGACCCGACCTGCCCTGACCCGCCCCATTCTCGACCCGTTCTTGTCTAAATTACATGAAATCTTAGTCAAATTACTTTGAATTTTACCTTTATCGCATCATATTTTAGCTATAATAAAGTTGTAAATTAGTAAAAACCTCAATTTCTTCAATAATTTAACTACAATTGTCATTATATTGTTTATTTTCTTAGTTTTATAATAAAAATAACAAATATTTTTAATGTTTTTCAAATAAATTGCATACCCATTGGGTCGACCTGCCCCGACCCGCGACCCGTGATCAATTACCCGACCTGGACCCGCCCTGCCACGGGGCGGGTCTGGGTACCAAGAAACCCGCCCCGAACCTGCCCCATTGTCATTCCTAATCTTACCCCATCCCTCACACACTCAAATATATTAAAAAAAATCTTTTATCATTTGGTCAAAGATATTGTATGTATAACAAAGGGGAAGATTACTTTGTTTAGCCGAATCGAACCAAAAATAAAACCGAGTAAAATAATTTCCTTGAAAATGAACCGTTAAGAGGTTTAAACGGTTCAATTTGATTTCAATAAAATGAAACCCGAGGCTTAACCGGTTCAATTTCATTTCAAGAAAATAAAACCCGAGGCTTAATTGAATATTGAGTGTTTGTGTATTGGTTGGTATTTTATTTTTATTGTTTTCAGTTCTGACCAAACAAAAAACGCTAAGCACAAAAAGTTTGGGACCGAAACCAAAAAACGATAAGAACACCTTAACTCTTCGTTTAGTTGAAATTCAAGAAATTGAATCCGAACTGATAGTCCTATGTATAGCACACTTTGCCATCTTTCATTTTGTTCTTCTGATTATCCAAAATCTTAATTAATTGATTTTTTCATTGTTGCTATGAGGGAAGTAAACATTGATAATGAATTCATTTTCTTTTTATTACAAATTAAGTCACGTGTCAACTACTCTCAGGAAAACTCTTTGTGTGGTTGGGTTAAGCCGTTGAAAATCACGAATAGGATACCACAGACAGAGGATATATTCAAGTTCTTTAGGTTTGATGAAAATGTAGTAACGAATTAACTAAACTTTAGTGAGGATGAAAGGGTTTGTCATCTTACCCCATCCCTCACATACACCCAAATATATTAAAAGAAAAAGTCTTTATTATTTGATCAAAGCTGTTATATGTATGACTAGGATGGGAGATTGATTTGTGTAACTAAATCGAATCGAAAATAAATAACGAAAAAATTTGAACAAGTAATATCCTTAAAAATGAACTATTAAGAGGCTTAAACGGTTCAATTTGATTTCAAAAAAATGAAACCTGAATGAATTTAATAATGAGGAAAATTCATATGCTAATATGCGAATCGAAAATAAAAAACGAAAAAATTTGAACAAGTAATATCCTTAAAAATGAACTATTAAGAGGCTTAAACGGTTCAATTTGATTTTAGTGAGAATGAAAGCTAGGTACACTTTTTTGCCAAAGTAACTATTTTAATTTTTGTCTTTTAGTGAGAATGAAAGAACTTGCCATCTTACCCCATCCCTCACACACTCAAATATATTAAAAAAAATCTTTTATCATTTGGTCAAAGATATTGTATGTATAACAAAGGGGGAGATTACTTTGTTTAGCCGAATCGAACCAAAAATAAAACCGAGTAAAATAATTTCCTTGAAAATGAACCGTTAAGAGGTTTAAACGGTTCAATTTGATTTCAATAAAATGAAACCCGAGGCTTAACCGGTTCAATTTCATTTCAAGAAAATAAAACCCGAGGCTTAATTGAATATTGAGTGTTTGTGTATTGGTTGGTATTTTATTTTTATTGTTTTCAGTTTTGACCAAACAAAAAACGCTAAGCACAAAAAGTTTGGGACCGAAACCAAAAAACGATAAGAACACCTTAACTCTTCGTTTAGTTGAAATTCAAGAAATTGAATCCGAACTGATAGTCCTATGTATAGCACACTTTGCCATCTTTCATTTTGTTCTTCAGATTATCCAAAATCTTAATTAATTGATTTTTTCATTGTTGCTATGAGGGAAGTAAACATTGATAATGAATTCATTTTCTTTTTATTACAAATTAAGTCACGTGTCAACTACTCTCAGGAAAACTCTTTGTGTGGTTGGGTTAAGCCATTGAAAATCACGAATAGGATACCACAGACAGAGGATATATTCAAGTTCTTTAGGTTTGATGAAAATGTAGTAACGAATTAACTAAACTTTAGTGAGGATGAAAGGGTTTGTCATCTTACCCCATCCCTCACATACACCCAAATATATTAAAAGAAAAAGTCTTTATTATTTGATCAAAGCTGTTATATGTATGACTAGGATGGGAGATTGATTTGTGTAACTAAATCGAATCGAAAATAAATAACGAAAAAATTTGAACAAGTAATATCCTTAAAAATGAACTATTAAGAGGCTTAAACGGTTCAATTTGATTTCAAGAAAATGAAACCTGAATGAATTTAATAATGAGGAAAATTCATATGCTAATATATGTTGCTCACTGTGCACATCTTACTTTCTTTTTCCAATTTACAACGTGGTCTTATTGGTGGTTGTTGGTCATGAAACTTAGTGCTTTATATTGCTTTGGATTTGATCAATTTGTTCCTATGTTCAATTGTTAAGTTTTGCTACATATATAACTGATTGCTACAATTCTATCATTTTGCTGCCATCTTTACTTGATCGGATTTATGTATCCAACGAGTTAACTGGTTGATAGAACTTGGATCCAACAAATTATATTATGAATGTTCTTTATTTTTTCTTAATAAATTGGACTTGCTAGAGACAACGATTAGTGGTGCCTTAAGTTGTATGGACAATGAGATTTTTTTTAGTGAATTAGAGGTGAGGTGTTGTACATGTTAGGCTTATGAATAATAATCATATGTATGCGTTCACTTTTAATGGTTGAATTCGCTTATCATATGGATATGCAATCGCTCTATGTAGTAGTTAATTCATTGTATGTTTCATGATCCAAGTCAAAGTTGTGCTCGATCGATAACCTTCTAACTCTCTTCCTCACTCACAACAAGTTGAATGTTATCATTCATTGATTTTTTTTTTTTTGAAATTTTACCTTTTTCTCCAAGAGTTTTTATTATATGAGTCCTGATGGTTAGGCGTAGCTTTCCTATTTATGCATTGTTCACTCAATATATGTTCATTCCCCCTTTTTATCAATTTTTAATTTGTTTTATGTTGTTTGACATCTATTGTGTACTTCATTGTTTTTCTTTCCTTTCATTAGTTTTAAGGAAAGGAGACCAATAAAATGAACTATGATTAGGGGTGAGTTAGTTTTGAACCCTCTCAACCATGCAACTCATATGCCTCAGGTAAAGTGATGCACTACCCAAATCGAATTATATGACACATAAATCCATGTGTTTAAGGTGATGCGCGGGTCGAATTGGATTGATACTAGACATGTCTATACATTAACTAAATAGGGCTGAACCTCGGTTCATTTTATGTTAATCAAACCGAATTGGTTGGTTATCCAAAATCGAATTGATGTCATTTTAGAAATTGTAATTGATGTTGTTGCGGTTACTTGAGAATCGGATATTATGATTTTTTGTTATGTTGCAGTTAACTGCATTCAACCAATTAACCTATTTGTCATTCTTTTTGGTTTAGGTTACCTAATGGGGTAGGCCATTTGGCTTTGGGGTAGTTTAATTTTGCGATTATTTGGGCATTTTGTTTTGCAGTTTGGTGTGCAGTTACACCAAACACCAAAGGTTATCTAAAACCAAATCTACAACTATTCTATTTCTTCATTTTATTATTCTCGATTAACTATTAATCGTAAAATTCGAATAAGACTTCGGTTAGCTTGCATGACCATAACCAAATTTTCTGCCCTATAACCAAATACTCCCTGCGGCGTAGCCGCGGGTATTGATTCTAGTTGACCATAACAGATTCATATCAAAATTCCACCCAATACTAAAAGGGGAAAAACCCATGTTCACAGATCACTGTTCGGATCAAATCCCGGCTAAAAGATTACAATTTCCACTGATCTTAACTCAGAGAAGAGGATGACAAAAATACTTGGGGAGAAAATTTGCAGACACAGCATAGAAACAGATCATTTGTCAGCAAATTTAGCGAACTTGGATAATGCCAGCATTCACAAGCTTTTGGATCTTGTTCATCACCATGGGGTTCTTCATATGCTCCTGAGCTGCATTTGGGTTCTCCTGAATATCTTGCAAAACCTGAAGCGTTCCAAAACGATGGTAGTCAAGGAAGCATTAGATTTTCTTCAGGAAAAAGCAGGAACGACATGAAGCATAGGATTTAGATAAGTTTGCTTACTTGTCTCATGACAGGGTCAGAGAGGATGTTCTGAACTTCAGGGTCGTGCATTGCCTTTGCCTGCAAGAAAGTAGAACCAAGTCAAAAATCTGTATCTCAAAATCTCTGAACTATGCAATCAAGATTTTGGTAGCTGAGTAAGGCTCCAAACCTGTCTCTCTTTCAGTTCTTCAGGGCTTATATCCCCACGGCTAGCCTTGTTCATTTGATCAACACATCTGCGAAAATTGGAATACTGCGTAAGCAATTCAGTTTAAATTTAAACCAGATAGATCGATTAGAAAGAGGCAAAAGGTTACCACCGGGTGCATACCTTCTTATACCGTCAAGCAACTCTTGGTTCTGAGGATCATGTTTCAAACCTTCTTGGTAGGTCTCCAAGGCCTTCTCATACTCCTTCATGAAGAATTGAATAGCACCCTTTCTCGTGTAACCTTTGGCAAAAGCCGGGTCAAGTTCAATGCACTTTTCGGCATCCTTCAATCCCTCTGGCATAGCACCTAGTTTCGTGTAACAAGCCGCTCTGTTGCTGTATGCCTGAAATGCATAAACCATGATTATGTCATGACTTCCATATCACAATTGAGCATATAACCGTAACAACCCATTGTTTTTTTTTTTTAGGGCAAGTAACAACCCATTGTTATGTGTTTACCCTATGATCCTTTGGGTTTCTCTTGATTGCTTCTGTATAATGCTTGATAGCATCAGGATACTTTTGCTCCTTGAAATATTCGTTTCCTGCACAGAGCATTTTTATAGTTAATTTGGCTGTCATATGAAGGATCCAGAGATATTCAACGAGTGGGAATGCGGCGTATACCTTTCTCACGTGACTCATCAGCCAGCTTAGGATCAAAATATTCTTGCTGTTCAAGATCCTTCTTCGCTTTCTCTGCTTCATTTAATTTCTTCAGTGTATCAGGGTTACGATGCTCAGTCAGGGCCTTTTGGAAGGTCTCGATCGCTGGTTCATAGTCCTTTGAGGTCTTGGCCATTTTCACCAAGGCAGAACCTTTCCTTGTCAAGGCTCTTGCAACCATCTTGTAATCTGATCGAAGCTCCCTTCCACGCTCCACAGCCTTGTCACAGTCTTTGATACACTCTTCATACTGAAAGATCACACAAAACCACCATCAGAAAATCACCAACGTGGCACAAGCAAAAAAAGCGGCCACAAGAGGATCGAAGTTCAAATCATAACTCTAGAGGACTACTACTTTCACACACGGCAAAGAAATTTCATGCCTTCAGAGGAATACAGACCACCGAGGCACAGCTTCAGGTTCTTGCTCCTCTAAACCAAAGCCTACCACATAAACTTAGCAAGAACTACCATGCTGTGCAGTGAAGGACTTAACCAAACAGATAGCGAACAAGTCTTGAGGCTCTTCGGGATTCTAAACATAGAAGAAGCAAAGCCGAAGTTTCTTGAAAGTACTAGCTATACCAACTGCATGATTAGTATTAGTACATTATCATCGTATCTCAGTCAAAGCATTTCTATCAACCATTCAGTCCATTCTAGATGCGAAAACAGTTTTCACAACCACTCTAGCAATGGAATTAAATAAACTAAGCGAAAGAAGAATTCCTTACCTTGCCCATCTCCAAGTAAACAGCAGCACGGTTAGTGATAAATGAGATATCCTCATCATAAAGCTCAATCGCCTTGGTGTAATGCGCGATGGCAGTTTCAAAATCCTTCTTCTTGTAAGCAGCATTACCCAATTCCTTTTCCTTTAAAGCCTGAGCTTTCTTCTCCTTGGCCTCCCTCTCCTCCTCTGACACATCCATTGGCTCCGGCTCGCGGCTCCTCTCCTCCACAGGCGCATTGGCCGATGTTGGCTTCTTCTCAGGAGGCGGAGGCGGCGGAGACTCACCCTCCGTCTCAGGAATGTCCATGTCCTCTCCGCCGTTAGGCGCCCTGAACTTCACATTGAGCAAAGCTCCCAAAGCCTGCATCACCCTCTGGTCCTTCAGGTACAGATTCAAATTGTTGGGATTCTTCTGAATCTCCTGCATCATCTTCACGAAATCCGGCTGCTGCAGGTAAGGCCTGGTGGACGGATCCGCGGTGAGCTTGGCCCACATCTCCGGCCCGGCAAACGAATCGGCGAACGGATTAGGGCTCTGCGGAGCAGCTCTAGACCTAGAAGACGAAGCGGCGGCGGCGGACTCGGCATCTGCTAGTCCGGACTTCAAGGCTTCGTTGTTGGGGTCGAAGTCGAGCCCTTTCTTGTACGCGACAATAGCGTCCTTGTACTGGGTCAAGCCGAGATGAGCGGCGCCGAGGCGGGAGTAGCCCTTGGACCAATCAGGCTTGAGCTCAACAGTCTTCTTGGCGTCATTCAAGGCGTCGTCATACTTCTGGAGGGAGGCGTAGGCCGCCGATCGGTTGGAGTAGAGGACATGGTTGGTGGGAGCGAGGGCGATGGCGTCGGAGAAGTGCTTGATGGCGGTAGTGTAATCGCCGGAGGAGAACGCCGCGTTGCCCTTGGCTTTTGCTTCGTCCGCCATGGAAAAACTGCAGATTCAATTGATTGAAGAGATTAAAGAGAAGGGTTTTGCAGAATTGTACTAGGATTAGGGAAAATAATGAAGGAAGAAGGGTAATTATAAGAAGAGAAGAAGACGGGAAAGTTCTGGCGATGTTGCAAAACGAGTAAGAGGGTTGAAGAAAGAGAGGCGTTCTCGAAGGTTCTTCTTCTGTTCTGACCTCCTCCGGTCTGCCCCTTTCTAATGTATAAACCGAACTGGTTTGGTCGACTGCCTGCCCATGACTGCTGATCGGGTGGTTTGAAACTGATCAGTTACAGCTTAATCTATCTATCTATAGCTTAGTTTGGCCCTGCTGTAGCTTTTGCAGAAGCAGCTTCTGGCTGGAGCTTTTAGATAAGTACTTTTAAAAAAAAAACAGTTTAGTGTTTGGCTGTAAAACTATTAGAAGTGCTTTTTAATATGAGCGGTTGTGTAAAATGACTATAAAGGACTTATAATATAAAATATAAATAAAAATTCGAAACAATAAAAAGTAGTCAAAATGAATCTTGTTAGATTTCTTTTATATTAAATAATATGATTTTATAATTTATTTTATTTTTAAAATGATATAAATGAAGGAAAATTATATTTTCTGAAATAAAATTAAAATATGGTAAGGATAATCTTGTATTTTCAAAACAGCTTTTCGCAGAAGCTCCAAATCGGAGCTTCTGCTTTTATGTTATACAAAAGCGCTTTTCGGCTTTTCAAAAGCCGAGCTTTTAGAGGTGTTTGGTCCTGCTTAAGCTTTTGAAGCCGAAAAGCACTTCTAAAAGCCGGGCCAAACATAGGCTATATCTACTTCTACATCTATCTACACAATAAATAAAAGTGAAATGAGTAAATTTGGACCTCCATTTCAAATTTCCTGCATATAGAGTGAAAGTAGGAAGGGTAGTTTCGTCTTCACAGTCATTTACTTTTATTTAAATGAAAAAATACGAATGAGATTTTGAACCATGATCTCTTCAAACAAAGAGAAGAAACATAACCAATTACACAAAAATAATTTGTTTGATCTTTTTAAATTAAAAATATGTAGGAAGGTTAAATCTGAAAAATCATAGAGCTTTTCCACCACGATTAGCTAATCCACTAACTCTCCCATAAATATTTTTTTGGTATTTGATACTTCTAATTTCATATTTTGTTTATTCTAATTTGAGTTTAATAATCACTTTAATTTCTATTTATCTTATAAAAGGAGGATAATTTTAAATCGCAACCCAAATGTGGTTTAAATATTGCATATCGAATTGCACTCTTTTTTCTTCTTCGTTGAATCGAATTGCACTCTTCACTGTGCAGAAGCGATGTAAAATGATTCACATAGACGTAATTTTTATAACTACCATAAATCAACGATATTTTATTTCTCGAACACAAAAGTTTGAGTTAATATGTGGCACATGTGTCTTTAAGAGAGGGATAAATATGGAAAGGTTGAGTGATGTTGGTTTGCCGAATGCGGATGGAAAAAACACTACTCATGTAAACGGCCCTGAATAGTGCCCTGACCTACTAATCGCTCAACCATCGGCGTTTCTCCAAACTTTCTATCAGACTCAGCAACTAGCTAACCTCCTCCACGTGTATTGTTACGCCAGAGCAATTTTTGGAGGGGTTAAGGGCTACTAATGTAAACGGGCTCAATTCCACTAAACGCTCAACCACTGCGCTTACTTTCGCTACACCTAATATAATAGTGAAATGGAAAAGGTGTTTTCTGTATTACAAAATCGTTGCATCCATAACGAAAGTAGGAAGGGAAGATTTGTCTTCATAATCATTTATTATTTTCTTATTTACAAGAAAAATACATCATTGATGAGATTTAAACGGTAGTCTCTTTGAAAAAAGACAAGAAACATAACCAGTTACACTAAAAAAATTAGGGTGTGCCTACGGTGACAAGCATGTCACGGTGACTTGCACTTTCCGGTCGACCTCAGTTAGGATTAGGTCGACCTCATTTAGAATTCGGTCGACCTCATATAGGATCTGGTCGACCTCATTTAGGATTCGGTCGACCTCATAGGATCTGGTCGACCTAATCTGTTATTTCAGTGTAAAAACAGTTCATGGTGCCTACTTTGGATATTCATATCATACAATTGGCTAGATGGAAATTGAAGACTAATGACTTGTTTTGAAGCTGGAGTGTCCCTCTACATATTGAAGTGATTGAGAGCTTGATAGGAAGTCCAGAAGACCATTTTTGAACCTCATCAAAAGGCTATGCCAAAACTGGGAAACTGCCTGGAAATGGCCAAGTCTGGAAACGTGTTTGTGAAGCCTATTTTGGAGCTCAATTCGAGAAGCATGAATGCGAGTCGAGTCCAGGAGCCTCTACCACGTTAAATTAGGTATGTTTTTATACAAATTCAAGGCATTGGATGAAAGATTGGATATCTGTAAGGCTTCAAACAAAAGGGTCGAAGTTGCTACGAAGGCTGTTTTTCTGGCAGACTTCGAGCACAAGCAAGCTGCCAAAAAAACAGCCTTCGTAGCAACTTCGAGCCTTTTGTTTGAAGCCTTAAAGATATTCAATCTTTCATCCAATGCCTTGCCTTTGTATAAAAAATACGTAATTTAACGTGGTAGAGGCCCCTGGACTTGACTCGCATCCATGCTTCTCAAATTGAGCTCCAAAGTAGGCTTGACAAACACGTTGCCAGACTTAGCCATTTTCAGGCAGTTTCCCAGTTTTGGCATAGCCTTTTGGTCAGGTTCAAAAATGGTCTTCTGGACTTTCTATTGAGCTCCCAAGTACTTTAATGTGTAGTGGGACACTTCAGCTTCAAAACAAGCATTTAATATCCAATTTCCATCTAGCCAATTGTAAGATATGAATCTCCAAAGTAGGCACCATGAAACTGTTGTTACACTGAAACAACAGATTAGGTCGACCTGATCCTATATGAGGTCGACCGAAAAGTGCATGTCACCGTGACATGCATGTCACACATTACTGATGTTATTGGTGCAAATATTGCATATCCAATTGCAGTATTAAATAACTAACAGAAAACAACAATATTTTTTAAGATCGAAGTTTTGAGTATATATGAGGCACATTCTTTAAGAGAGGGACAAATATGGAAAGGTTTAGTGACGTTGGTTTGTCGAACGCAAATGTAAAAGACGCAACTAATGTAAATAGATCTAAATACTCACTAAACACTCAACCATCACCGTCTCTCTAAACCTTCCCATCAGACTCGACAACCGCCTAACCTCCTCCACCTATATTGTTACACCAAAGCAAATTTCGGAGGGGTAAATATGGAAGGCTGAGTTTTCTGCTTGGAGAGTTGATTGGTGGGTTATTTAGTTTCTTTGACAGTAATGTGTGATCTCTTAACATCAGCTCATTTGATTGATCTTTTAGGTGACTTTTGAGTTGATTAAAGATACATAACTATACTTTTTGTTGCTTTTGTTTTGATACTCCTTTTCAGTATCATCATTTTCCTAATTTGAATATTTTTATTGTTAGTTTCCAGTAAACAAAGATTATTCAGCTTAGTGTTAACGTAGGGAATAGCTTCAATCATATACCACTTTTACACATATTTATATGTAAGAGTTGAGATAGTTGCCGAATCGAACTATTCAAGCTATAATTATGATCTTCAACATATAGAACATTGTTTCTTTTGATTGAAATAACCTCATGATTGCAGATAAGTTTTTACAATACGTTGTTTAGTGATAGTGGTCACTTGCTTCCAGATTTAAAAGTGGAGTTCTAATAATTACAATATAAAAAGCACGAGTGATACCCATAATTGGAGCAGCTACAAGGTGGTTTGATATTCTTCTCTTTATAGGAATAAATACATGGTGAGCATATGTTGACATGGGAAGGACAAACCAATCGAATTCTTTGTGTTTTTAGTATAGCCTGTTGAAATATACACATGCCTAGACCCGACAGATTGGACATCTCTACCTGGAATTTATTTACAGGATTTTTGCTCATGAAAATCACATGCCAAGTAAGCTCCCTCCTTAATCCTTTTAACTTTCTTAATCTGCACATGCATACCCTCATAGGAAATATGTACGAAATTATAATTTGGATGCTTCATTAGTATTGTTTCCATAATATTGTATTATTCTAAGGTGGTTGTTCTGGAATTGTGAATCGTGGTTGTATCTCCTCTCTAAAAAATTGTCAAGTTAAGCTATAAATGAGGTTCCTCTTTGGTTTAGATGGTAAGAGAGCAATGACCCACTTCAAATTGATTGGGGGTTGATGAGGCATGAGAAACAGTCTAGGCTTCTTTAGTGCATCACAAGATTTTGATAGTATCTCGACCAAATCAATTTTTGTTGTCGTCTTACTGTTGTCGATACAAGATGTTTACCTAGAGGAGAGCCCCAACAAGTTAGCTCTTGGAGTTGCAATGCAAAAATTGGTAAGGAAGAAACGTTTTATACAAAAGACCATACCATGATCATATAGAATGTGTTGGTAAAGATAGCTCCAATCTCATTTTATTGACGAAGCCATCGAGGGGAAAAGAGAATCGACATTAGTACTCTAAACAGTACAAGACTATTATACTGATAATTTATTTCATTTCATGTAAATCGTATTATGGCTGAAGTGATATTACCTCAAGCCATAAGTTGCAGCAATGAATGGTTGTTTGGATTAACGTGCACTGATGCAAAATGCCATGTAGCTGCCACGAAGGAGTAAGAGAGGAACAATCAATGTGTTTGCTGTCGAGAAGGATAAAAATCGTGATAATGGAGAGGTTACATAACGATTGACTTATACATATTGAAGAGATAGAAAGTACAGAGATGTAAGTCATTTGCGTGTTTAGTGTAGCTGAGTGATTATGAGTGATTTGACAAGATTTCACAGTGGTAGGGGTATCGACAAAAGTTGTTATAAGTTGGTGTTTCCAAGCATATGTTGCTTGCCTGTTGCTTTTGTTTGATATGAGATTCCTACAACAGATTCAATGCTTTGTATTTATGTTCTTTTTCTGTCATTTTAGATAACCAAAATATTCATCAGGAAAAACTAGCCGGTGCATTCCATCGACTTAATTTGGACATTGCTGGTTTTGATTTTCTCAGTCAGGGATTCATCGCCTTTTGTGTCACTGTGGTTTTTTGT